AAAGGGCTGACATGGGCTGATGGCACACGTCGCATGATGTATTGCGCGGACTGTGAACAAAACTCGTGCCGGGGAAGCAGCAGCCCCAACTTTCATTGCCCGATCTCGACTTGACCCCATGGATGCTTCGCGACCGCATGGCGAACTCCTGGGTAAGGGTATCGCCGTACTTTCGTTGCTCCTTCGCTGAGGGTCTCGTACGGGCCGTAAGGCCTAAAGCTCAAGGACAGCAAATGCTCGAGCGGAAGAGCTTCGTCGCCGCTACGCATGCTTTGGGAAATGTCGTGATCAGCGGTCTTGGCCTGTGCAAGATGTGGTGAGCTAGGCAGCTCTTCTTTCAATTGCTGTAGACACAAGCTTGGCGGTTTCCAGTTGCGGTGCTAGCCGATAACGGCGGTAACGATCTGCAAAAGGTGGCATCACCCACCATCTTGCTTACTCCGGTCACAGCTCCGCACGGGAAAATTGTTGTCTGAACTTGGAAACTCTGCAGGTATGTTTCTCACTCCGTGGTTTTGAAAGTTTACAGTTGTCCAGGCAATTATAGCAACATGTTTCATCAAGCACTAGTTGGCTGTTGCGGCTGTAAGCTGTCCGGGTTATTTTGCACTGCAAGCAGATTCTGTGAGGCAGGACTATTACTGTAGCCTAACCCCGAAACCCCAAAAACCCTAAGACCCTAAACCCTAAACCCCCAAAAACCCCAAAAACCCTAGGCCCCTGACCCCCAGAGGGCTTTGACAAGCTGCCACACGTTCTGCGTGCAGGCGATGCTGGACCAGCACTACAAGGCCGCTGGGAGGTTCCTACGAGGGTTTGAGGTTCATGGGGTTTATAGTCTTGCATGCGGCATGCCAGGCGAAGCCCGAAGCCTTTTTGGAGACGAAGGGTCGCCCCTCCCCTCCCCTGCCCTCTCCTCCCCGTTCCACGTCTGTCCCGCTCTGTGTCTGTCTCTCGTTCTCTCTGGCTCCCTCTCTCGCTTAGAAAGAAGCCCTCGACCAAAAGCCGCATGCGCATCCCTAGGTGGAGCAGCTTCTCGTGAAGCACCGGGCCCAATACGACTCCGAGGTGCCTCTGCACGTGGAGGGTTTAGGGTGCAAAAGGGTTTAGGGCGTTTAGGTTGTTTAGGACGTTTAGGGGTTAAAGGGTTCACCATTTCACAGAGGCTGCGCTTGCCTAAAATCCAACGCAGAGTCCGCATTTCACGTCTTTCTTCCCCTGAGTATTTCAGGGGGATCCTACCCCAAACCCTAAACCCTAACTCTTAAACCCTATAAACCTTACGTAAGCCCTAAACCCTAAATCGTAAACCCTAAACCCTAAACCCTAAACCTTTTTCCCTAAACCCTAAGCCTTAAATTGACTCAAGCCTCCAAACCACGCCCTCGGCCCTTGTCCTGCCATACCCAGGGCTGGGCTTCAAGACAATAGGGTTTCCTGATTATATTAGCTACTCGTACTAGTAGTTAGAGTCTTGTTGTTCCGACCGCATTTTGGGCTTTTTTAAAGAGGTTTGAGAGGCATGTGCCTCTGTGCGACTGCGACGAGTTTGGGTTCATAACTGAACAGCAGGATCACATCCCACTTTTATGTAGGATGTTCCTTGAAGATGTGTCTTCAACGGAGGAGTTTATGCGCAGCTGCAACGTTGCGCTCATGGGCCCGAGACTGAGCATGGGAGCTTACTGCGCGAAGAGTCGCTTCTGGGGGTTAAGTTCAGAAGCTGGCTCTCATCTTCTTCCGGAGTCGCCGTTTGACACGATGTTTGTGCTGTATTTTGCTGTAGGGTTGATGATCCGAAACCGGCAACAAAGCTTCGGATGGAGTACGGAGGTACTGCGTACCGATGGGCCTGCGGAGAGACCTTCGCCAACATCATGCAGGAGTCCCCCTTTCAGGACTGAGCATCGACTATGAATTGTCGACGGTTTAGTGACTGATGAAATGCAGCACTCGTACTCTCCCGTACTGCCAAAATTTAGAGTGCTAATATCGATGCTAGTACCAATGCCAATACGAATCCGAGTAGCAATACTGCCAGCTTAATATACTTGTGAATGGACTTTACGACGCTATACTATGCTATACTTTACTATACTATACTATACTATACTGTACTTTTCTTTTCGGTTCTACACAACATCGACGTCGACGTCCTCAGGTATCCGTATGGCGCGCAGCCTGCGAACCCGGCCCAGGCTCGGTCCTTAGCCCCGTTCGGGCATTTAGGGTTTTTGGGGCTTGGGGTTTTCAGGGTTCAGGGGTTTAGGGGTTTGGAGTTTAGGGTTTTGGTGTTTTTGGGAATTTTGGATTTTAGTTGTTTCAGGCATTTGGGGTTCAGCCGTTTTGGGCTTTGGGTTTTCACGGTTTAGGAGTGTAGGGGTTTGGGATTTTAGGGGTAGGGTTTCAGGATATGGTTGTTAGGATTCGACGGTTTCAAGGGTGTTGGGTGCTCGTAGCTCCCTAGGGCTGTAGGAGCCGGGGAGGCCACATGCTTTCTTTACAGGATGTGGCATCGCCAAGCTGTCAGGGGGTTTAGGGTTTAGGCCCTTTCTGGTACCTATGTGAACCGGATTCTACTTTCCACCAACTGAACCTGCAGAGGTTGCTGGTTTTGTTCTCCGGGTTACGGGTGGAGGGTTTAAGAACTAAGGGTTCAGGGGTTTAGGGTTCGGATGGCTCTTACTTTCATGCTCTTTTGTCTTACTGAGTCCGAGCTTGCAGGGCGTTGCAGCTCAGGAAGCCTAAACAATCAACATGCTCAGTGAAATTAGGCTGTGGTGCTCAACCTGAATCTAAGAACCAAATACGCTTGATTGCAGTCTTTCCTGCCAGGTGCGTGTCATCCGTGGCTGAATGAGCACTGGCACACCAACCTGACATGAGTTTGGAAATATTCGAGAAGATCATCCCAAGGCAATGTTGCATTGCAAACTATACTTTGCTGCGATGCGAGTCTACAAATGGCATAGGTTACGATGTTGCGAGACTATCGTCGCCACTGCGGGGGCGTAGAGCATGTGCAACATCAGCTGGGGACAGAGTGGCCCTGCCCCACCTACCGTGGAGAAACGCGGCTGTCGGGTTAGATTACAGAAGCTCAGGTTAGTGAATACGTTGCACATGCTGGATGTATTGTTTGATGCGAGTGTAATGACCATTTCACAGGTTGAACACCACGCCAGAGTCGTGGGTCGATGATACGTGTAAAAACCCTGGCCAGATGGATCAGCCATTATAAGGTTCGCTAGGCGCATGTCAACTGTTCAACCTGTGCGGCGCCAACGCTAACTTGTCGATCGCAAAATGGGCCTTTAGCAAGTTCCAAATCAAGGCTTGTGCATCTTCCCATGTCGACATTGACGAAAGACATGTCTGCCTGTGGAATGATGGCTTGAGCTTAATGCTAGACCAACCTCCACGACACGGCAGCCAGAACATCAGCCTTGTTGGCAATGTCCACTTACAACTGGGCGAAGTATGACCCGAAGTACTACCTGAACGGCGCGCTCTGCGGCGGGATCTGCTGCTC